TTCTCTTATCGGGGTCCACGTCAATGAGGGGTTGGTTTGTTTTTTTGCTTTTCTCTCTCGTGTGCTCTCCCCCCCCACACACATCCACCCCGACTGATTTTCCTGTGGGTAAGCGCCCCACCCCTGCTCTTGGACAAATCAAAATGGCCGATTTCCCTCCCGTTTCACAGGTGCTGACCATCTGGGAGGGAACCACCAATGTCCTGGCCCTGGACGTGCTGCGCTCGCTCTCGAAGAGCGAAGGCCGGGTACTTGACGCCTACTGCTCTGTGGTGCAGGTGAGTTCTCCCCCAGAAACGTTGTTCCACCAGAGGTAACCCCTCCCTGGTCCCGCCAGAGCCCCGATGGCCACAGGCGCCAAGCCAGCATCTCCCCATACTCAGTGCCGAGGCTACTGCCAACTTGTTCGCTTGGCCGTTAGGGGGAAAAAAATCGTAAAAATGAGCAAATTCGAGATGACGGACTTTGATGCTCAACACAGACCGAATACGGCCTCGGCGGTGGTTCATCACTCGGAACAAAAGTGTGTGGTTCTCTCCCACAGCTGAACGTTGACGTGCTACAGCTTGGGAACTATACTGTGCGAAAGAGAAACGCTACTCGATTTAAACACGACAAGCACAGAAACCGATTCTTTACCACGTGCCGTCTTTCTTTAAACTTCCCTAATTGCGTAGCTTAGGTTTAACCCAGTGCTACGTTGTGTTTGGGACTGGGGATTTTTGGTTGTGTGTTTCCGGTTCCAAATGTGGCGCGTAGCTGACCAATCATGCCACAGAGCGGGTGTAACTGTAACGTGGCATATGCATCGATCTACATATTTTAGAAATGTGCCATCTGTCTGTCCGGGAGCATGTTTGTTCAAGAACACCGCCTACATGGTAAGAGCTGGACCACCGAATTTGGTGGGCCGCTTCCTTTTCTCACGTAAAGCAAGGTCAGGATTTGGTTGTGCCAGGACAGTGGGATGGGCCTGCAATCCGACTGATTTCCATCACGCGGAAAGGGAGGGGGCTGATAGAAGGGCCAGTTGTACTGCAGAGTGACCGCTGGTGGCCGCACCCGGATCAAAGCAACCGGTGGGTGGGCAGGCTGGTCGCCTATGTGGGGGGGACTGGACAACCCGCCCTCAGCCTCAGCAGCTGTCCACCGGGGAGGAGCCAACCGTTGCCGCCCCCGATGGCCCAGCTCAGCTCCTTATCCTGAGCCCCCCTGAATCCTGCAACTGCTTCTCCCACAAGGACCCGGCATCCTTTCTTCTACTATATTTTGAGACACCTCTGTGCAGTGTTTCTTAAACTGTGTTCCATGGCGCACTGGTATGCTGCGGAGAACAACAGAGCTCAAAATGGCCGCCCTTAAAGGGCCAGGTGATTTTTTTTTCCTGTCGCAATAACTTTCCCCTGACTTTTTTTTTTTTTTTTAAAAAATCCTTGGTGTTTCCCATTTAAAAAAAAATTGTTTGGTTTTCCTCGGTCTTAAAATGTTTAAGAAACACTACATTAATGGATCTCCAAGTCACCATTTTGTTTCAGACCAATTCCACAAGCCAAATACACAGAGAGGCTGGAACTTCATTCGCAAGTTTAATTCTTAGGCAAATGCTACGAACCTGGATATTGGATGGCTCGCACATTATCTTCCATATCTTATTGACTTAGCACCTTCATTTTTTGGTTGGTTGGTTAATGGGTCTCATTAGCTTCTTGTAACTATTTAGTCATTAAGGTGCTACTAGACTATTTTTTTTTTTTTTTTTTAAAGCTGTACCTGTTACAGACTAACTTGGCTACCCCCTGAAGCTTATCTACTCACCATCTCTTCCCCTCACTTTTTTCTCCTTTTTTCTTTTTTTCCCCTGTCTTCTCCTTCATCCCCTCCTCCCCATTTATTCTTGGATCTGGACTTCTAGCACTCCTGTCATCTGAAGAAGTGAATTGTGCCCATGAAAGCTCATACCACCATCTACATGTTTTGTTAGTCTTTAAGGTGCTCCCCGCCCCCACGCCCCTCTCCTCCCAGCTCCCTGTGCTGATCTGGGCGGGGGAGGTGTCCAGCGCGGCCATTAAAGATGGCGTCAGCCTGATGTGACCCAAAAAACCTCTAAATGTGTTTTCTTAAAGGGTCAGTCCAGTCCTTTTTTTTTTCCTTTTTCCTTAAAGGGGCAGTCCTTTTTTTCCCCCTCTCAACAAAATGCAATCGGGGGCGCCTTTTAAAGGGGAAGTCCTTTTTTTGGGGGGAGGGGTTGACAACTTTGACCCGGCTCTTCGTGCTGGATCCACTGATATCTTGGCTCTTTGCCCGGCCTGGGTTGACCACCCCTGCTTTACGAGTTCTTGAGCAAATAGACTCACGGGCAGCCGCTCGTTTCGAAAACCTCGAGAGAGCTGCATGCACCGCGTTACAGGAGCCTGGGAAACCTACGTGCCTCGACCTCGCCAGCAGCCTAGGTCGTTACGAGGAAGCCCGTGCGGAGCGGCATGGAGGAGGGGGGAGTCTCAGCACTGATTTTCGTCACGTTTCCCACAATGCAGCGGGGCCCCCTCAGAACAGCCAGAGTAGCATCCACGGGTGTTTCCCCTGCAGGCTCTACCCAGAGTCATGATGGGTAAGGGGCGGGGGGAGAGGGAGGGAGAGGGTGTCCTAATGACATCTCAACCTGGGACAATTCCTCAGATTTGTCACCTAAAAAGAATGGCTCAGGTTTTGGAATCTCCCTAACATCCTCAGACATGAAGACTGAAGCAAAGAATTTACTTAATTTCTCCGCAATGACCTTACCGTCTTTGAGTGCTCCTTTGGCATCTCAATCGTCCAGGAGCCCCACTGCTTGTTTAACCGGCTTCCAGCTTCTGATGTACTTACAAAAACATTTTGCTATTACTTTTTGATTTTTTGTGTAGTTGTTCTTTAAACTTTTTGGCTTTTTTATTATATTTTTATAATTAATTTGACAGAGTTTATGTTTCTTTCTATTTTCTTCACTAGGATAATCTTCTACTTCTGTGCTCACCGGGTGTAGGGGAGCTGCGTGGCACGGCGATACAAAAAGCCTAACACTGCAGCACTTGGGGACGGGAGTCCGAGCACACTGATTCCCTGACGTGCGCTTTTTCACAGGGGCGCTCTTGCTTGAGCACGCGGCCCGGCCAGACGCCTCCGCCGCGGACACCTACGCGGCACAGCGGTAAGCAGAACCCTGCTCCTCACCCCCATCCCCTTCCAGCAGCCGCACCAAGTAAGTGTCCCGCTGCGGC